AAGGGGGGATTTCCCCTTGCCCCCCCCCCCTGGCTACACCTATGAAGAAGATGCTAAATCTGCTGTATCATCGATTCAAAATAAAGCAATAAAATGGCTGCTAATTAAATAAAACATTTTCATATTTATAGCTCCCGGAGAGTATCTGAGTACAAAATTCTCTGTAAAAAAATCGAATAGGACGAGCGAAAAGAATATATAGTGACAAATGCCAAGATGAACGTCCTCAAGAATCGATTGACCTTTATAGGTTCGAACTATATCGTCCTATAATTGATCAAATTATAAACAGCTTGTTGGAATTACTTTCTGCATAATGAGAGCTTATCTTGAATGTGCAATATTTGCATCCATGACATTTTTATGAAATAAATAGTAAAGGTATTTCTAAAAAGGCCTTGGAAAAACTGGCACAAGTAGCATATATATTGAATGTTAAATTTCATAACGAATTATGTTCATGAAACGGACGATGATATCGCATGTACAAGTGAGGGGTCAAATGAAGAAGATAAAATATTACAATATGATAATAAATCAGAGTGTGATAATAAATGTAACAAGTGTTTAATATGCGTGTATGAAATTCTTAAAAGATACAATATGCATACAAGTGACACTAATATATTTTTGGCATATGAATACATTTAAACTTTATCATTTACTATGGTTAATTACGAGAAAGCATTTAGTAAATTAAAAATTATAAAAATAAGCTGAAAGCTAATATTGACCAAGAAAAATTAGAAGCGTATTTAATAATGTCAGTTGAAAGAGAACTATTAGCGTAGATTGAACTAGAAGATATTCCTGTATATTTGCACAAAGGTTCAAAGTTAAAGAGAGATTTATTAACATAAAAATTATACATTTTCTTAATTCTTTTATTAGAATCTTATTAATATTATTTAAAGTGCAGCAATTTTATTCTCACTGCAATAATTTTACATTTATAATTAATTGATTTAATATATTGAATATGCATTTTTTTTATATTTAACATGTGATGTATGATTTGATTTTATAGTGCAATATCCTTGTAAATCTAAATAAAATATATATTTTCAATGAATATTATTTTATATAGGTAATGAATATGATTTTAGATGTGTATTTTTTAAAAATAAAATATATTATCGTTTAATACTATTATTTTTTTTACTAAAATGGTAAAACGTTTGAACTAATTTTCAAAAAATAAGAAGTAATAAAAATCATGTAAATCAAAGAAGCCATTTAAGGGAACCAGGTCAAAGACCGGGCATAAGTGGGCCGAAGGCCCGCAAAATGGGGAGTATAGGGGAAAAGCCCCCATATAAATGAGCCTCTATAAAAAATGCCCACGAGGCCATAGCGTGGCCAGTCCGCTTCTGCCTGATGTAACAACAAGGAGGAGATGGAATTGTTAGCGATTACGAGTAAAGATATGGCAGATTAATGGTGAGTCTTGGTTAATAGAGTGGAAGAGATTAGGCTACTAGAGAAGGAATATGAATATACAGACGCTGGACTTGTGTAGGGTGGGTGTGTTGTAATTAGGTTTTTATTAGAAAGATGTATTTATGTTTTTAAGTTGTTAAAAATATGTTTAATTTGATAAAATATATATGTATATGTTAAGAACCTATCGTTGGCCATGTATTTTATTACTTGTTGATAAAGAAATAAATATAGGGACAACGAAAGGGATTGAATTTTTTTTTATTTTGTGGATATCTGATGATCGAGATTTATTATTAATTTTTTTAATTTGATAGTGGAAAAATATCGCTAAATTTTATTAAAAGAATATTGTCTTTAATTTTACATTGGAAGAATATTGTAGTATTTGTATATTAGAATATTGTAGTTATTTTTTATTGGAAAAATACAGGATCAAGAAGATTATTATAAATATACTTTAATATATAAAATAATAGATATATATAGACATGTGCACCGCCGGTCAAATGCACCGCCGGTCAAATGCACCGCCGGTCAAATGCACCACCGGTCAAATGCACCGCCGCCGGTGATTTTTGACCACGCCGACGCCGCCGCCAAAAAGTGTCGGCGCTCAACATGCCACCGCCGATGTAAAAATTCGGCGGCGTGGCGGCGTGATACATATTTTTTATTATTAAAAATAATATTTATTATATATATTATTTATGAATTGTAACTTGAAGAAAAATAATATTAAATATTTTTTGAATTATTAAAATGTGATTTTATTATTTTAAATTAATAAATATTATTTGCTATAAATTTGATTTGTAATAATCCATATAATACACGTTGGCTGGCTTAGAGCAGGTCTGTGACCAACATGCTAGATAAGATAAGATAAGGATAGAAAAACAGAAAAGGTATTGATATTTATTATTTTAATCTTAATTTTTATATTAACTGTTAAAATATTTAATTATTTTATAATAGAATATTTAAATAAAACTGATCTCATCTCACATTTAGAATTTTTTTTGGCATAATATTTTTATTATTAACTTTTTATTATGTAGAAATATGGCATTATTTCAGATACAAAAGATTTACCAGATAGAACACACTTAGCTGGAGTGGATTAGATGATGTGTATTTATCAATGAAAGCATACATATGTCAATAATAGGTCCTAAATTTTGTCCTATAACTTTTGATATGTGGACAGACAAATATAGACGGTGAAATTATATGACCTTTACATTTCACGAAATAGATAATAATTTTAATATTGTATTTTATACATTGGCGACACATCATATCACTCAAAAACATACCGCTGAAACTATTCTTTCCGAGATAGATATAGTTGAAAATGAATTTGATTTAGGGTCCATGAAAATTCAAATGGTTACGGATGCAGGACCCAATGTAAAGAAAAGTGTTCGTCTAAGAGAATATAACCATCATTTATGTTTGGGGCATGGATTACATAATCTAGTGACAGTCGATAGAATAAAAAAAGTTAATAAAATAGAAAATCTCATTAAAAAAGTGGGAGAAATTATATTTGCCTTAAGATTCAACACAACGGATTTTGAAAATATAAACGATATCGAAATAGAAAATGTTTTGAATCGATATTAGATTTGGATGATAATGATTTTTTTATGAAGATCGTTTGGGGTTTGATGATGATAGTGAATATGGAAAATCATATGAGAAAAAACTAAAATTAAATGTGCCTACATGTAGGCATAGTATTTTAATAATGCTGGAAAGTGTGACTGGCAATAACAAAAATCCTATAAATTTCTATTAAATAGAATGGAGAAACCGGATCTCAAATTATTTAACTCCGAGTAGGACTTGGTGCATGATCTTTTAAATTTTCTTAAAACCATCAAAAAAACTGTTGAATTTTTATACGTCCAAAAGGAGTTTAGATTTATCCTTATTATTTCGTAGTGAAATTAAATATCATTTAATTGTATAAGAATATGATAATCCTCCCATGATCCCTTAAACAAAATATGCTTGCTAAATTTGATCATAGATTTCCAATAACCATCTTCAGGTAGTACTTTAAAATACATATTTTTTTTTATATTATTTCTCTTTGTTTTATATTTTTACTTAGGTGTTAAGAGCACTTTAGGATCCTCATTTTCAATCTATAAACATAGTAAATGAATATTTAAAGGAAAAAAATATTACTCCGGTGCAATTTTAATGTCAACACGCTACCTTTCAATGGCCTTACACGGACGAATTAAGCGTATGTGAAACGACGGAAGTTGCTTCAAAATTCGATTATCTTACATTGGCTACGAAACATTCATCTATTCATAACAATAATCTGAAACAACAAGACTATTTAACTAGTTTAGGAAAAGAGTGTTATTCATTATTTTCGCCTTATAAAATTAGAGATAAAAGATTTCTTCGATTTTTGGAAGATAAGAGCATTGAATCTTCCTAAACTTTCAATATTAGCTAGAAAGGTCCTGTGCATTCCAGCTACGAGCACAAGCGAGCGTGTATTTTCCATAGCTGGGCTCACTCTGAAATCTAAAAGAACATTATTATGTCCTATAAATCTAAATATTATATATGATAAGTTTAACTTAATAAAATCATTAAATTATAGTTATAAATATAAACATAATAAAGCATAAATTTTATTTTATAAGTGTTTCCAATGAATTTATAATTTTAATTTAAAAAAATTTGAATTAGAAAAATATTTGACGCCGCCGCGCCGCCTCCAATTTTTGTGGCGGCGTCTAAATCAATTCGCCGCCACCAGCCGATCATTTAAAAAAAGAAACGCCGCCGCCAATAATGCTCTCAGTGCACATATCTAGATATAATTATTTTCATTTTAGATTTAATCAAGAAAATACGAAATCATCTAGATTCAATCCAAAAATACAATACATAATAATTTTTTATTTTAATTATATGCTATATCCATTTTAAACTCACCCAAGTTTGTCCATCCGTCAAATTTTAAATTTGCAAATGTCATGTAATAAACGAGATACTTAGTTTGAAAAAATGTAATTCAATCATGCTCTAAATATATATTTTCTCTACCTGAAGAAAAAAAATTAAAGATTTTTGTATGAAAGAAAAACGATTCTAATACATGTGCTCATACTGCTGATTATTTATTGAATCCCAATAATAGGGAAGTATCATAAAAGTAGAGAGTTTATGAAGCTTATGATATGATACTAGTGTTGTTAAAGTAACTAGTTAAAAGTAACTAGTTATTTGAAACTAGTTACCTGTATTTTTGCTAAAAAATAACTGTAACTAGTTAAATTTTAAAAATTTTAACTAGTAACTTAGTTATATTTTTTGAAATGTAACTGCCAAAAGTAACTAGCTACTTCTAAAAATATGTGTGTATAAATCTAAATAATATATTCAAATAATTAATTTTATTTTTAATATGTGAATTAAACATTTATTAAATGAATATTAAAATTATAATTAATATACTATAACTTTATAAAAATATATAATTAAAAGAAGAGAAATAAATTATCAATATTTTTATTATTTCTTACGAAAAGGGTGCGGTAAATTTTGTCAAAAAAAGGAAACGGAACAGAGGACTTGATCTCCCGCGAGCTTCTGTCGTCCCCTTTGTCTAAAACTTCGTCCCCTTTATCCGGTCCATATGGATATATTTTTACAGCGTGGATGATAAAATTAGAAAAATAATTACTCAGAATTAGCAGAAATAGAATGACAATAAATTCTTTCATAATTATAAAATTTTGTTAAAAAAATGTAGAATAAAATAAATATGAGGATTCAATCAATTATTAACACATAGAATATCAAATAAATGGTGGTTTAGCGTTTAAAAATTGATATTTATTAACGATCAGGCATAAATGTCAATTGAATAAAATCAATAAATATTTTACAAAAAATTAATTACATTTCGGTAAATTTATGTTTTTTAAAACAAATTATTTATAAATTTTAAAAAAATCTTAAAATTCTGCTGAATTAAATATATCGAATTAATAATATTTTAAAAAGCGCGAAGCATGAAAGGAATTACTTGTTGCTCTTTGGAAAAATAACAAAAACATACTGAGAATTGTGTTAAATATTTTTGGTTAATATTAATAATAATCATATCAAACAGATGATAATTTTATTTTTCTAAATGTATTCTTTAAAAACTAATAATTATCTAATAAATTATAATCATTAGAAAATAAATGAAAACATATTTATTTATCTAATCTATAAGCAAGTTATGGAATGTTTATTTTTTTTGACTAGGCTAATTCATGTGAAAAAGATAATCAAATAAAATCACTACCGAGGTTAGGGAATTTTTATCGCCTGCCCATTCACTTTAGTTTTTACCGGGGTGGGGGGGGGTCTATACTCATAATTAAGTACCTTATTGCTAAAATACATTTAGAAAATCAATTTCTTTTCTTAATGCTTTTGCCTGGGAAGACAGTGCATGGTTATATTAATTAGCGTTAAGAACCATAATTATTTATCGAATCTTCTTTATTCTTAAAGTGCCTAAGGGAAAAACCATCCTTAAGGATCATTATAAATAAAAAATAAAATATCTTCATACTAGGTCTATACTTATTAGCTTCCTTGCTTTTTTCTTACAATGATGTTAAAGTAGTGGCGTGCTACAATTTTTGGGTAGCTATTAGTAGCGAGGTTAGTTTTATATATATGTTAGCTGTATTCCGGCAATGTGTTATTTTCTCAACTTTAAAAATAAAAAATAAAATATCTCCATACTAGGTCTATACTTATTAGCTTCCTTGCTTTTTTCTTACAATGATGTTAAAGTAGTGGCGTGCTACAGTTTTTGGGGTAGCTATTAGTAGCGAGGCTACTTTTATATATGTGTTAGCTGTATTCCGGCAATGTGTTATTTTCTCAACTTTAAATCATTTTTTGAACGCGTTTTTAAAAATTTAAAAATCTGATTTTACCAGAAATGTATTCCATCATGTTTAGAATACCTACTCTATGAATTTCACACAATTTATTCATTAACTTTTAAATTTAATTATATTCGATTTTTCATATATTTTTTATATAAATTAAAAATGACTCAAAGGTTAACAGCAAAATTGTCTACAATTCATAAGATAGGTATTACAAACATGATAGAATGTATTTCTGGCAAAATTCGATTTTTAAATTTATTAAAACGAACTCAAAAAATGATTTAAAGTTGTAAAAATAACACCTTGCCGGAAAAACACATTGACGCTAACATATATATATATATATATATAGGTCCAATAGCGCCGCTACCTTTTTCAAGTAGCTCTACTAAAATTGGCTACATATTAAAAAATAAATCAATTATAATTTTAAATAGATAAATGGATATATTTTTAAAAAATTAAAATTCATTTTTTTTTAAATGATTACATCTTTATGTTCCTGCCATATTTTAAAGAACAATAATGAAAATTAACTGATCAGTGGGTTAGCTCAGGATCTATTTATATTATCTTCATTCTCATACACTTTTTTAAAAAATCATATAACAAAATGAGAACATCTCGTGTTCTATATTTTTTTATGAAGAAAATAAAAATAATGTATAAATAATATAATATTGATTATTTAACAATTTTTTTGAGATCATATAGCACTCACATACATTATTAATTACCTCTTTACTCTTCATAAAATATAATATCTTTACCCCAGCCAGTTATCCAGTTGAAAGATTATTAAACAAAGGATGGTTTTGATGAAGTTCTTTGCAAGAGGAAAACTTTGAAAGACATTTTCTCAAGAAAATACAAAATATATTAATTAAAATTATATTATAATTAAGATTTTACTATAAAAATCTATTATGTATTACATTTCAGATTTTAGTAATATTTACGATTATAAAAAACAGAATTGAAGCTGCAATATTTTTTTATTTGCCATTAATAACAAGAAAAAAAATATTGAATATTTATGATAATTTAATATCTTCAAACTAAATTTTAATTAATTAATTGTGAAGACGATTTTGGCGGGGTACGTATCAAAGACATTCATGGGTTTTAAATTTTAGGCCCAAGCTCGGCCCGGCCCATATCTAATGTTAAAAAAATTCCCATGTCTGGCCCAAGCCCATGATAAGTTTCAAAAATATTTCCCAAACCCGGCCTAAGCCCATATCCAAATATTTAATTTTTTTTAATTAATGAAAATAAATAATATTTAAATATATTTAGTTTAAGTGATAACAAGTTCTTCCGAGTGATATTAATAATAAAGATGAACCTAATAAATTTAACATATTTGACAATTTATTTTTATTTATTTACTTAGAATTAATATTTTTATACAAAAATTTCTTAAAAATCTATAAATGCTCTATGACACCCAGCGCGACAGGATAATAGGTACCCCGGGAGTTTTATAATTAATAAATTATTATTTTTTAGAATTTCATTTTGTTCCCAGGTACTAAATGGCAGTTTTGAATGAGATATCTTTTTATTCAAATTTGTAGTCATATTATAGCTTTATTTTGATGTGAAGGTTATAAAATAAACTATACAGAAGACTTTGGTATCCACGATAATTATTTAGTAAAATATTTAAATTTTTAGTTTTACAATATAATAAGAGATGATATTTCCATAGAAATCGGAGCTGATTTAACTTTTTAAATTTGAATAAATTCTCAATCAAAGATATTTCTACTGATGAGATTTTAGCCCCAAAAGATTTATTATTAATTATATACTGTATAACGTTCGGGAGTAAGCGCCTTTCGCTATCTAACCATATAAGGGCTTTTCACGTGCTCACCACCTTGTTTCACCTATGATCAAAGCCAGATAAATTATTAAGGATAGAGCATCCATCCTTTTATTTCATTCTCCAAATAGACTTTTTTTCTAGTTTATTAAATATTATTCGTTTTATATTTATGAAAAGGTGACCGACATGTCAATTATTTTGTATAACATATCTCATTTTAAAAAAGTGAGTAATTTAGAATAACATTTTTTCGTAAAGCAAGTATATATAATATAATTTGAATACCTGATTTACAAGTAAAATAGGTATGCTCTACTGGACGCCGAGGCAAATAAACTCGCTAAATATTCGGTGTCGCTACCTGCCAACCATTAATCGCCACAACTTTTACATCATTCAGCTCTCATGCTCTGGCCTTTTTTTTAAGAGCTGGGGCACCGAATCTCTACTAGGACCGAGAATTCCAGCGAGGGATACTACCTACGTCAGAGGTTCGCCTTAAACATAATAAAGTGCAATCATCTCAGCTATATGCTTTTAATAATCAAAACCCTATTGAACATCCGTGCATAGGATAGGCTTAGGTTATTTTACTCCCAATTATAACGTTGGCCCTAAAAAGGAACTTGGATCTCAAGCGATAAAAGACATCAAAAATTAATGACAATAAAAAAAAAACGAATGAAGATGTACAGAAGTCGAGAAGATGTGGCCACCAAAGTGTTGCAGTTGGCTGCAAGCTTGAATTGAAATTGTATATAGAAGTTGATTATATTATTATCGATGTTAACTAACACTCGCGATTAGAATTATTATTATTATTGGAATCTAAATAAGAAAGAAATAAATATATATAAATTATGATAACCCAATATATAATATAATCAAGAATAAAAAACTTTACCACTATATTTTATTCGATCAGGAATCCAAATTATATTTTAAAAAATTAATAATCATTTATGTCTCGAATCTCACTTTTAACGCGATATATATATCATAATTGTTTTACAATTAATTTAAATATATGAAAATTTATAAAATAATATTATGTTAAATTTAAGATCATTTACATAACAAAATTACCCAAAAAATATTATCTTCGTCTACAATTTATTTATGAATAATAACTTCCAAAATTAACATTCTAATTTGCATATACAACACCTCCTTCCTTTAGATCTCCCTTGCCCCCGTAGTGTTCGATGATTCTACCATATTTCGCATCGGTAAATTTGTATTATTATTCGCTGTCAACTCTACACTTGGACAATATCGTAACTTGTGTCCTCCCCCGCAAGCCCAACATTCCAGTCTCCTCGTTATCCCATAAGGTGCTAACCTTAGATCAAATCTTGTTCTTCTCGGCATTTCTTGTAACCAATCCCCATATCTTTGTTGAGCCTCATTTCTAGCTGCCTCTATCCATCTATTGGATTCCTCCGATCCGTCTACTTCTCTTATCTCCATCTTTATGATCTTATTCCCTACTCTGACGTATGATGCCATCTAAATAAATTACTTTATAAACATATATATATATATTCCTCAACTCTTAATTATCTATATTTCATTTATTTTCTCCACTTACCTTTTATTCATTTATTAAATATAAATCTAGGTCTATTATCCATTTTATTTCCTTCTAATTTATGATTCCTTCCATTACATTCATTTATTCCTTCTTTAAATTATGATTCTCCTACTATGTTTATCATCAATTTCATTTCTTTAGAAAATATGATTCTCATAATAGGTCTAACATCAATTTATTTCTTTATAAATTATGATTCTCATAAATATGTCTCATCAGAATTATGATTCTCATAAATATGTCTTTCATCAATTTATTTCTTCTAATTCTTCGTATATTTCTCAAATTTCTTTAATGTTCTAAGCTTCTACGCCTTATTTGTTTCAGGTGTCTTGTATATGTACCTTCTTGTCCTTCAATTTCTACTTCTACTCTTTTTCTTCCTATATTCTTGCTACTATACATTTCCCCCATTTAACTGGACCC